AGTCCAAAAGAAGTGAAATAAAAAGCGCCCATCCATAAAAAAAAGTGTCTCACACGGCTGAATATGGATATTTTTCTTACAAAAACACATGGATTCACTACAGGAGGCCTTTATTCACCCCCCAGAGCCGTGTGAGGCACGTTTTATTATGAATGCGCGCGCTTTATTGACGACTTGTGGACTGTTCAACTGCAACACCCGCTGATTGCAATGATAGAGCTTGGAATAGCCAGGACAATTTTTTATATAACTCCGACTGGATTCGTCTGAAAGAAGTCATATACACCTAGGATGCTTCGAGGGTAAGTCAAACACAAGCTAATTTTCATTTTTGGGTGAACTAACCCTTTAAGCCGAACAATGACAAAATTGACCTGTTAATTTTCCTGTTACTACAAGCTGCTTTGAAACAATCTGTATTGTAAAGAGCTATATACTTGACTTGACTTCAGTTCACTTGATTTGTAATTCAAACGGAAAAGAAGATTATTTTTGGCAGTGTTCAAAACAAAACTCACCTTCAGGTAATCATTCTTTAAGACATGATGCAACATCTTGCATGTCTCCTTAACAATAACCCCAACAGTACTTCTTCCAACATAGTACTGGAAGCTCAATGAAGAGAAGGACTCTCCTGTCAACATGAAAAAAATATTGTACAATATGTGCATGAATTTATGTTTAAGCTCAATCAGGAATTTATTTATTTTTTTACCAGTGGCTAAGTATCTCAGTGTTATGGACAGTCTCAGTTGGGTACTTTGCTTCGTGATGTATGGAGCCACAAGTTCGAGCAGATGATTAAAGTGTTCCACATCCATGCGGAAAAATTGTCCAAATCCACTTTGATCATCCGTCTAAACAGTACAAAAAAACTAACGTTTTATTGTGTAAACTGTTTGTGAAGACATTGCTGTGCTTAACATTGCAATACCACGAATATTCAGTTTAACTGTACACACAGGCTAGGCTTACATTTACATTTTACTCAAATTCGAGATAGACGCCACACAGATGAATTTTTTGGACGTGGTTACTTATAAGGGATTCGAAGAAGAACATCAACTGGATTACAGACCGTGTATTTTAAAGTGTATCTCTTTTAAAGTGTATTTTAAAGAAACCGACACGCACTGTTTGCTACACAGAAATAGTTTTCATCCGAAGCACACATTTAAAGGCATCTTGAAATCACAGCTACTCCAGGTTCCACAGGATTTGTTCACAGGAAGAAGAGTTCTTGAAGGTGGTGAAGATCCTGTTTAGGGCCCTGAGATCCAGGGGATACTCGAGATCCTTCCTGAGGAAAGTGCTAAGGTTATTCAGAACATCCAAACAGTAATCCAGTGACGAACGTACAGTCCAGAAATAAAATAATTACCCTTGTGGCCTTTTACTCGACTCGACTCGAGCTCAACGGTGCACTAAAACAAAACTTCTATCAATTTTTAGATGGCACACGATACTTACAAAAACATAGGCCTATTGCAGCATATCTTAGAAATAAAAATCTATTAGACACCTTGGTTCTCTTCTAAGTATTATGTGCCATTAAGGTGGGTGAAAAACAGAACTAATAAACAAATCTATGAACTCCAACAGACTTTGTCCCCTCAGACTGCAAATTGTGTGTACCTTATTTATTGTGAAAAGTGCAAGAAACAATATGTGGGCCAGACAAAAAATAAAAAATCAGATCAAAATGAAATGCGGGTTAGAATATATCAGCACGCGCATAATATACTCCACAAAATTGAAAAGCACAGATTTGTAGTTCAGTATTTCCTGGCCTGCGGCCTATCCTCTCTTAAAATAACCAGATTACAAGCCAATCCTCTCTGGAATTTACAGGATAGACTAAAAACAGAAAGGCTATGGATCAAAAGATTGGATTCACTTTATCGAAGAGGTCTTATTAGCCGCGTTTCCACTGTCGGGCCAAAAGCGGGCGTGCTAGTGCGTGCCAGGGCCAGTCGTGTTTCCACTGTCACTTCCGGGGCTTGATCGTGCCTCGTAGGGGTTTCCTCTGGGCTTCCTCAGGGCCAACGGCCAGGGTTTTTTGGCCCGATGAAAGCCTTGGGACAAAGCGGGCCAACTGGAGCTAGATGAGTGTTTATGAACAAAGGCGGAGTTTCTCCGCGTCGAGAGAGCATCAGTGCTCTGCGGATAATTTCATAAAGTTAACAGCTATAACACCAGCATTAAAGACTTTAAAAATAATTTTAGCTCAAAACTCACTTTCAGACAGCAGCGAGTGTTTGAAATAACTTCTGTTTGAGATCCGATGTGGATTATGATCACCATACAAGGCAGAAATATTTATAAGCGATGCAAAAGACTATGCACGCTAATGTAAGCAAACGTTTTTTATTCTTTTGATCAAAAGATCCGAAAGATCCCATGCGTTTACCCTCCCTTTGAAAAAATGGAGACAGAAGTGATCGAAAGTGGACAAAAGAGACATACAGGAAGTCTATTTGTGATCCGATCAACCAAAACACATTTTAAATCCAGGTGTAAACAAACCCTAATACACTGCTCAGCTATTTTGAACTGTATCAGGGGTGCTTCTGTGAACCTCAAGATTGTCTCGTTTCTGCAAGTCTTTCCACAGTGATGGCACAGCAAAGGCTTCTCTCTGGTGTTATTACATGACTCATCTCACACTGATAACGTAAAAATACAGTTCGCTCATATGTGCAAACTCATGTGGTATTTAAGTGCTGCTTTATATCTGAAACTCTTTCCGCAGTGACCACATGTAAACGGCTTTTCTCCAGTGTGAACTCTCATGTGCCTGTTAAGGGTTCCTTTTCGGTTGAAACATTTTCCACATTGTTGGCAGGTGAAAGGCTTCTCTCCAGTGTGAGTTCTTATGTGGTCTTCAAAGTGTCGTTTATAATTAAACCTCTTTCCGCACTGAGGGCATGTGTAGGTTTGCTCTCCAGAGTGAATTCTCATGTGGTCTTCAAAGTGTCGTTTTTGAGAGAAACTCTTTCCACACTGAGGGCATGTGTGGGGTTTCCCTCTATGAGTTCTCATGTGGACTTTAAGCTTTTCATGTTGATCAAAACTCTTTCCACACTGATCACATATGTAAGGCTTCTCTCCAGTGTGAACTCTCATGTGCCTTTTAAGGGTTCCTTTTTCAATGAAACTTATTCCACACTGTTGGCAGGTGTAAGGCTTCTCTCCAGTGTGAATTTTCTTGTGTCTGTTAAGGCTTCCTTTTTGAGTGAAACTTATTCCACACTGTTGGCAGGTAAAAAGACTCTCTCCAGTGTGAATTTTCATGTGGCAATTAAGAGTTCCTTTCCAGTTGAAACCTTTTCCACACTGTTTGCATTTGTAAGGCCTCTCTCCAGTGTGAACACTCATGTGGACTCCAAGGTTTCCAAGCTGAGTGAAACTCCTTCCACACTGTTGGCATGTGTATGGCTTCTCTCCAGTGTGAATTCTAACATGTCTATTAAGACTTATTCTTTGACTGAAATGCTTTCCACACTGTTGGCAGGCGTAAGGCTTCTCTCCAGTGTGAACTCTCATGTGGACTCCAAGCTGTCTAGATTGAGTGAAACTCTTTCCACACTGTTGGCAGGTGAAATAACATCTTCTTCCTGTCTTTTGAGCCCTTTTTCTTGAGGAAGTATTTTCAGTTTGTGAACAGCTAAAAGATATTTCTCCATTTATGAAATCATGATCTTTATCTTTCATTGCATTCAGTACTTCGCTCTCCTCTTTCAGTGCCATCAGGTCTAAGGTGAAAAAAGACAAATAAAAGTTAACCCCAGTTTAAGGACACAAAACAACAGACATTAAAACATTCAAACAGTGTCAAAACTAACATACAACTACATCCTATATCCACTAAGCAACTGCAAGATGTGTTACATGTAATCTGATTAACCCTTCCCAATATTGCCAACTCTTCACTTATTTAGGACATCTCAAAAACTATCAGGCTGGCATTGAAACTCTCTATTTAAACAAAACAAAACAAAAAAACCCAGGAGATCTAATTAATCAGGGGCCAGGAACTGAAGGTGCATAGGCACCAATTGTAATCATTGGTCTTCTTCCGATCAAACCTATGGCAGCCCACAGAACTGCTTGGAGGAAAGTTGTGAAATCTGGCAGTTAAAGGACAGAGGACAGATATGGCGCTTTTCCACTGCGTGGTACGGCTCGGCTCAGTTTGCGTTTCCACTGCAGTTTAGTACCGCTTTAGAGTGAGAGGGATTATTTACATGTCGTTATAGTTGCACCAAGCTCTCGCTGGATCCGCTCCACTGCTATAAACGAGAGGAACATCTATACATCCTCGACAGACAACAAAACAGCCATTGTTTGGTTGTTAAAAAAATATGAATAATTCTACATGATAAAAAGAAGGCTTTAAAAAGATCGTATCGGTGATCGGGTCAGCAGATACTGCTTTCTGTGATCGGCCTCAAAAATCCTGATCGGAGCTCCCCTAGTTTACACATCACGTTTTAATAATAATACGGTTCACTTGGAACCTCACTCGAGGTGGTACTGAAAAAAGTACCAGGTACTGTACCCAGTGGAAAACCTCCCAAAAGTGAACAGTACCTAACCGTGCCGTACCATGCAGTGGAAAAGCGCCAATAGAGGAGTACCAACAGTTCAAATTTTGTGATTTTATCGGATATTATCATGGAAGAAAAACTCGACTTGGTGTGCTTAATGGAAATATGGCACAAACAGTCAGAAGGACTTTTGTTTAACGAACTCCCACTGGCTATGGATTATTTGATTCCCCACAACCTGGTGGAAGGGGTCGCAGATATCATTGTGCTGTATAACCAACAATTCAAAATTAGTCCTGTGGTCATTCCCCATTTTAATTATTTTGAATGTCTTGTTCTGAGTGTCTCTGCACCCATCACTACTGTCATTGTTACAGTCTATAGACCTCCTAAGTAGGCTTGCCGCGATAGACGGTGCTGACGGTGATACCGTTGTTAAGCCGCAACACCGGTTACGTCACTTGCCCACCGCGGCACCGACCCCCACCGCCCTTTTGATTTTTTATAGTAATAAAAATCATTTAGTTCAGTAAAAGAACAGACACTACAATTAAAAACTGAACGTTGGGCGGCGTTATGCAAATCTTCCCACATAGTGAGGTAGATATGTGGGGGCGTGTTAGAACGAGCCGTTTTAGGTAGGTGTGGCTGACTCTTAACTTTTATAAAGAATATCTCTTTGGATTTGAGACTTTAGTCTTTGCAACTTTACAGATCTTCTTTATGCACCAAGAACTTGTAACACTCCAAAGAGAAAGGAAAAAATGAAATTGCATCATATGACCCCTTTAACTGGAGTGTTTTGATCTGAAGCAGATTGTGGACTGCTTTACAGATATCAAGGGACACACTTTATCATCTGTTTTTTTTCCCTAATGGTGCATTCTCACCAATAGTTTTCCTATTCCGATTTAGGACTTTTTATTTTATTTTTATTTTTTTGCCTTTATTGTGACAGGACAGATCAGAATTGACATCGAGAAATGGATGGAATGGAGAATGGATCGAGAAAGGTCCTTGAGTCAGGATTCGAACACGGGACACCCGTAGCGCAACAGCGCTGTATGTCAGCGCGCTGCCCACAAGGCTATCGGCGCCGACCATTTATTTTTGATGAATTCTGAGAGCTCTCAGACCCTCCCATAAAAAGCAAGGATGCTACCACGATCAAGGCTCAGAAACTTAGCAAGGACATCGTTAAAATAATCCATGTGACATCAGTGGTTTAACTACGAGAATACTTTTTGTGCGCAAAGAAAACAAAAACAGCATCTTTATTCAACAATTCATCTCGTCCGTGTCACACTATAGCACCATTTTGGAGAGTATCCACTTAATGTAAACAACGTATGCTGTTCTGTGTCAGCAGCACCGTACGTGGATACGTTGTTTACACTTTGATCCGAACGTAAACAGTGTATCTGCATACATACGTTGCATTCATTATTTTGTATGCACCAAAAATTTGATTCAAACAAATTGTGAATCGTGATTAAAAATCGGAAAATCGTGAAATTATTTTTAATCGAATTGTGAACTCAATCGATTTGAATCGTGAGTTACCAAAAGATTCCCACCCCTAGTTCACAGGATAGTTCAGCTTTGAGAATGAAAACCAACCTGTTTGTTCCTCAGTGTCTTCATGTTTGACTCTGAATGCTTCTTCACTCTTCTTGTCTTCATTCTCCTCTTTAATAAACTCCATCTTTGTTGGTTTCTCAGTATCTTCATGTTTGTCTCCGAATGTCTCTTCAATCTTCATGTCTTCACTCTCCTCTTTAATAAACGCCATCTTTGTTTGTTCCTCAGTATTTTCATGTTTGACTCTGAATGCTTCTTCAATCTTCATGTCTTCACTCTCCTCTTTAATAAACGCCATCTTTATAATAGTGTGTCACGTGGATCTTTGTCGCTTCAGCAGGAGTTTTTCGGTGTGTGTTTGGACACTTTGCCCTGTTTAAGAAGTCAGAATTGCGAGATAAAAAGTCGCAATTACCTTTTATTTTCTATTCAGTGGCGGAAACAGGCTTCCACAAAGAAAAACAATAAGACGGCATTATACAATGAAAAAGTGTGCTTTTTTATTTTGAATGGCAAAGACGTGCTCACCCACAGATATTCATTTTGTCTTTATAATAGTGTGTCACGTGGATCTTTGTCGCTTCAGCAGGAGTTTTTCGGTGTGTGTTTGGACACTTTGCCCTGTTTAAGATGAGTATAATTAACAGAAAGAAAAATAAATCCAAATTAAATCTCTGAGTGCATCTCAATCAGCTCCCTAGTTCAGTAGTCAGTGCACTGGTGAGGGAGTCAGAGTGATAGTTAATGAACTTAAATGATCTGATTAGACAAACATTTAAAACTTTATTTTACTATTCAGTTTTGACTAACATTAGGTATTTAATGATTAGTACATTTAATTCCACGTTTAAAATGGCTATTGATAGTGAAAACACACACACACACAAAAACACACACTTGCAGTTGTTTGTAAAAGTTGTAACTACACGTTTGTTGATCTTGTTGCATTTACATTGTTTTAAGCAGCAGGTTTCGTCAGCGAGCAGCGATTCGAATCACTGAATCATTTTGTGAAGCAACTGATTCAATTGACTCGGAGTTTCGAAAGATCCGTTTCTCTCATCACTAACTGCCAGTGACTGAATCCGTGTTTACGATCATCTGAATCGCTACACAGGGCGCGAAATCAGACGCACGTTATCTGTTACTAATGTGTGGATGCGCTTTACTCACACAAAATAACGCCCATTAATATTAGATACAATGTTACAATGTTACATTCAATAATTATTAAGTTGACATCGCTTGTAAACCATATAAAATAGACGGAACGCGTTTGTATTAATTTAAACACTTAAAACGATTAAGACCACAAACCTTTCTTCAGCTGAAACACAGACGCAGCGACGCAGCGTTATGACGTCATACCACCAGATCAAAATAAAAGTCTCACATCAAGTGAGGGGCTGCATAATATGAGTATGATAAATGAAGCTTTTTTATTATTCTAAATTGACATTCACGTACTACTGTACTGTATGTATACTTGTACCTACATGGCAGTTTTATTTGTGTACCATCTCTCCCTTATTTTTTATGAGCATTTTATGACAGATAAGTTGCATTGGTGTACAAGTCGATTGATGTATAAGACACATTTTATTATTTCATTCAGAACTCATGTAAAATAAACAAAACATTAGAAACATGTAGGCTATTTATATTTCCCTCTTTCCACAAAAAAGTTCCGTAAATTTAGCAGTGTTCAGAACAGAAAAAGGAACAAAAATATAAGTAAAATCACAAATTATAGTGGCATTCACTACAAACATTTATTAAAAACGCCCAACCTAAATATTTAAAGAGAAACTGAAACTAGCGGTGTGGTTGCTGGAAAATGCACAACTGCGTACGCTGTTCTGTGTCAGCCGCACTGCACGGATACGCTGTTTTTGTTCAAATCAAAGCGTAAACAAACATAAAAGACGTATCCGTTTGGTGCGGCTGACACAGAACAGCGCAAGTAGTTTGCGTTCAGCGGATATTCTCCAAAATGGCACTACGCTGACGCAGAGGAGACAAATTGTTGAATAAAGTCATTTTTGTTTGTTTTTTTGCATACAAAAAGTATTCTCGTAGCTTCATAATGTTACGGCCATTTACTTTCCTCGGAAGTGGTGATGGCTGCTACATCAAGTTTTGCTTGTTTTACAGAGGGACCACATGGGGTGTTCGCAGTGGCAATGCATTCACCACCACCATCGTTGTCTGATGACATCCTTTTCCTTGATGTTATCTGCATGGCACTTGGGTGCATTCTCTGAAAGTATATATAAAAAATATAACAGCAGTTTATTAGACATAGCCTATGTGTTGATAAAGATGTTGTAAGGGAAACAGGTCAATTTAGCTCAAAGGGAATCATTTAAGATTTTAAAGGGAATTTGGACAGAAT